GTTCCCAGAGTGAATTTTCAGCAAAGTGACAACTTGTAGGAGCTCTTGGTCCCCTTAGTGAAAAAAATACCAGCCCATGTGGCTACAGTATCTGGTCCCAGGACAGAGGATTTGGTAAGCATTAGACTGTCCCCAGAAGACTTGCCAGGAACTTGCATCCAGCAGACTTCTCCCTTATAGGCCCCGGGGGTGTAGGGGTACTTACACTGTCCTTGTCCTTCAACTATGGATAGAACTGTTTTCAGGCCTTCCACTGGGCTGTTTCTTTTCCAGGCTATGCAGGCTGTCCTTCCCCAGTGGACTGCAGATCTGTAGAGCTCTCTCCTTCAGCTTTCCTCCTACCTCCAACATTCAGCCTGGAGGCAAAACCCCTCTTTTCCAGGGTCCCCTCCCAGGCTACACAGCAGCATCTCAACCATCCGTCTTCCACCTGACTCTCCTGCTGGCCAGGCTCTCATATTTTTGGGCCAGTCTACCACACTGCCAGACCTTCTGCCAGGGATTGGTCAGACTCCCAATAAATATGCAGATCAGCCTCTCCTAGCGTTCACCTACTGACTTCTAGAAATTTTCCAAGCTTCTAGAGTAGAGGGAGGCACCAGAGGATTAACCTGTAGAGCCCTCAGCCTAATGCTAATGCAGGATTTATAGGCTTAATTAAGCACTTGCTCTAAATCCCAATACATGTAAATTAATTGGTTTCCGTGAAAGTTATAGCATTTACAAATGGCGGTATATATACTGGAATTTGATTTTTTTTCTACTGGTAATGGCGCCGATCAGCGACTTATAGCAGGACTGCGGTGGCCATTCTGACACTGGGTGGGAACTGACTGTCACTGACATGCCAATGACACTAATACAGTGATCAGTGCTAATAAAAAGTACTGACAGTGTACTAATGGCACTGGGCAGGAAAGGGTTAACATCTGGGGTGATCAAAGGGTTAACTGTGTGCTGTGTTTTACTAGAGAGACATGCTGTGCAGAGAAATACACAGCATCATGTTATTGCTGGCAGGAGAGAGACCTGTGTTGTTTACACACAGGTGTCTCCCCTGTCAGTGTTCTATCGCCAATGGCAGCGTGGGTAGGGTGGTGCACATGCCCCCCCACTGCCCCGTAAATGCAAATCACGTATATATACACATGGCTTTGCACAGCCCTGCCACCCTGCAGCAGTATTTCTGCTATAGGGCGAGGGCAACTGGTTATTTATTGACTCAACTCTATTGGGACATAGTATCCATCGGGAAATGCACTATATGTGTGTGCATGTACGCTCATATTTATATACATGCAATTATGCCAAATCATTCTTTTAATATTTTTTTATCTATTTATGCACACAGTTTTTTCTTTACATGATTGTATACACTACATGTACATATTCATTCATTGTACCTATTCCCCTTAATACATATATCAATTCATGTCAATATTCTAAGTTAGTATCATTTTAATCAATACAAATATGAAATACATTTTCTGACATGTAATACAATCTGGATCGCTAAGACAATACAGGGATGTCAATTTATTTATACATACATGTATTTACACACACACACAACCTAATTAATAAAACATTTTTATTTATTTTAATTTTATTATATTTATCTATTTATTCTAAGATTTCCTAGCTCCCTTTTGCGAGGTTCAGGCCAGGGCGCCATGCGGCAAGACTGGGCGGTGGACAGTATGTAGTACCTCTTTCCCTGGTTAAGTGCTTTTCTCCGTCAGGCACCTCTTAATATTTACCATCACCAGCTATAATGGGCATAATGCGTCCTGCGAGCAGCTGCAACACATAGTCCAATCGCACAAGTGGTGACGTATTTACGGTTCCATTTTTCTGGATTATCAGAAGTGACGTTTACTAATGGTGGCTGGAACGCAAGCCCACGCTGTACTTCCGGTCAATGGACGGCGTGCGCTCCATCGCTTCACCATCCATTTTGGACACATCTCCTAGTGCCATCTGATGGTGCTGCTACCTATTTTTAATGTGTCTTTGGGGAACTAGGATCTTCATTCATTTTTTGCACCCCAGGAAAGCAATGGTCAGAAGGGTATGTTACCAAAAACACATTTGCCATATAGATTCACACTGAAAATCTGAGAATTCCTTTTCTGCTGCTACATATGACATTTTTAGTAGGCGGAGGCACCAAAGGAATGACCTGTAGAGCCCTCCAGCGTGCCCTGAAGTTACCCTCTGACTCACACCCAGGTTTTTAGCAAGCCTCCATCTACACTAAATAACTATCCACACTAGAGGTGCTACATCTATGTTTGGTAATAAAGACCTATTTTTCCTTCATCCAATTAAATTTGATTCTCTGTGAGGGTAAGGTTACAGTTGTTATAGGGTTTGGAATACATGCGCTACTCGGCAGTCAAGCAAGGATAAAGATGGCAGCATTGGAACATTTCCTCTCTGCTATACCCACACCCTATATAGTAGAATGTTCCACTCTCACCTGTCTGCTCTGCTCTTCCTTAACAGCCAGTTGGACCTTGGTCACCATGTTCTTCAGCTTATAACTGGGTATGAGCTGGTCTTTCGGGCAGATTTTCCTGCACTCTGGGGAGAGCGGTAACTATGAAGCCCCGGGGCGTCCCAATATTTGGCTATACAGCCTCTACAGAAGGTATGACCACAAGTGATGGAGACCGGATCCAAGAGCTCATGGAGACAAATGGAACATGTAATCTCTTCTTCTAACTTGTAAAATTAGCAGCACCTTCCTGAGGCATGGTAGTCCTGGGAGAAATAAAACAAATATTATCCCTAAATAGAGAAGACAGTATATCCAGTCTGAAGTATATAGAAAGTTGGGAATGTTCAGAGAAGAGCCATAAAGTACGAGAAGATAACTGGAAACTGGGAGGTGGACAGGACTGTGTATTGTACATAGCAGGTTCCTCATTATACTGTATGATATGCTAAGGAGGGACTAATCAGGTACAGCAATAAGGGAAGGACGAGACAAACAACGAGCAGAACGTAACGCAGGTAGTTACTTCACCAGGTAGACGAATATTGGAGGCTCAGTGTTCTCTGTGCAACACTCTGGATCATGTCAGAGCTATACAAATATACAGTACAATAATAATAGTGTGTGACTGTGGGGGAGGGGACATTAGAGTGGAAGCTCCTCTGGAACAGAGACTGATGTGACTGTGGGGGAGGGGATTTAGAGTGTAAGCTCCTCTGGTACAGAGACTGATGTGACTGTGGGGGGAGGGGACATTAGAGTGTAAGCTCCTCTGGTACAGAGACTGATGGGACTGTGGGGGAGGGGACATTAGAGTGTAAGCTCCTCTGGTACAGAGACTGATGTGACTGGCTCAATGTTCTCTGTACAACACTGCGGTATATGTCAGAGCTATATCATTCAGAAAATGTAAGTTAGTGAGCGCAATCTGAAAAGCGACCAATGCACTAAAAGGAACCACAAAAACCTTTCTAATAGAATCACAAAACCAAGAGTGCAGCGCTATATGAGAATAAATCTTAATCACAAAAATATAAACAATAAAAATGAGTCCACTGTGATATCAAAATACGGACTCCTCAGTCCACAATGAGATTTCTAACACTGTAGGTGTAATCCGGTTTTCCGTTGTGGTGATATGGATAGATTGCCTACTCACCAGAAACACAGTGCAAAAACGCATATCTGGATCACATGCATCCTGGGATCTCGAATGAAGACAGCCCGGTGTTTAGGATCCTCTGGTGGTCCCTCAATGGTGTAAGAGAAGGATACCGATCTGGTCTCAAAGTGCTCACTTCCTCAGGTCCACAGCATTGCCTAAAATACTGGGGCTGAGGTGTGGAGGCTCAGTGCCAGATATGGAGAATGAAGGTGCTCATAGTGTAGTATTTATAAACAATAAATTTATTGCGTTTAAAATCTGAGCAATATTTGTACATAAATGACTGTATATGATTAAAGACTGCTGCATCAATTGAGCAATAGTACCCAAAAAGCACTGACCAGTATAGGTATTGAAAAATGTGGATGTCACCGGCCAATCAAGCCGGACCTTCCTGATCCGGCGGCGTGAAGCGTCAAAGCGTGCAGAGGCTCCTCCTAGACGCGTTTCAAAGATGTAAACACACATCTACAGTAGGGGTGATGCCATCAGGAGGTCCGGCGGCTACCCACATTAGATGTATACTGGTCAGTGCTTTTTGGGTACTATTGCTCGCAGCAGTCTTTAATCATATACAGTCATTTATGTATGTATAACATTTTTCAGATTTGAAACGCAATAAATTTATTGTTTATAAATACTACACTATGAGCACCTTCATTCTCCATATCTGGCACTGAGCCTCCACACCTCAGCCCCAGGCCATGATTTTAGGCATTGCTGTAGACCTGAGGAAGTGAGCACTTTGAGACCAGATCGGTATCCTTTTCTTACACCATTGAGGGACCGCCAGAGGATCCTAAACACCGGGCTGTCTTCATGATCGAGATCCCAGGATGCATGTGATCCAGATATGCGTTTTTGCACTGTGTTTCTGGTGAGTAGCGCAATCTATCCATATCACCACAACGGCGAAAAACCGGATTACACCTACAGTGTTAGAAATCTCATAACTGTGGACTGAGGAATCCGTATTTTGATATCACAGTGGCACAGACTCATTTTTATTGTTTATATTTTTGTGATTAAGATTTATTCTCATGTAGAGCTATATCATTGACTAAAGATAAGAAACACGCATATAAAAACAGAAATATTTTGAATCTAATAAACTTACATTTTGCTGGTGCTGTTCCCCATGAGATTCTGTGGGGTTCCTCCTCACTTTGTGAGATCTGCAAATATAAACATTTTGTTACTAGATGTGAATGACACTAAAAAGAACGACCGTATATCACAGAGAAACAAAACTCACAGAGCTGGAAAGTCTGGAACCTATCGCTGAGGGATGGAAGGGGAGGGGAACCACAGAGTATACGATGCATACATTGATCTGCCGCTGTGTGTGTGAGTGCGTGTGTATACACATACACACAGGCCGGACAGACCATTTGGAAACTCGGGCACTGCCGAGGGCCCGGGGTCAGTAGGGGGCCCCATTAGATGTCCCTGGTACCTTTTTCATAGAAATTTTTTTGAGTTTGGGCAAGGACACAGGGGCTACCCATGATCCCCTGCGGGCATTGCCCAAGGGCCCAGGGCCCCAGTAGGAGGCCCCATTAGATGTCCCTGGTACCTTTTTCATAGGCTTTTTTGAGTTTGGGCAAGGACACAGGGGCCCATGATCCCCTATTGCCCGGGGGCCCCATGAGTTGTCAGTCCGCCCCTGCATACACACTATATTGCCAAAAGTATTGCCAGTCCTCCATATCATGTGATTCAGGTGCTCCAATCCCCCCATCCACAGGTGTATACAATCAAGCCCCTAGGCATGCAGGCGGCTTCCACAAACATTGGTGAAAGAATGGGTCGCTCTCAGGAGCTCAGTGACTCCAAGCGTGGTCCCGTGATAGGTGGCCACCTGTGCAATAAGTCCATCCGTGACATTTCCTGGCTACTAAATATTCCACGCTCAACTGATAGTGGGATTATAACAAAGTGGAAGCAACTGGGAACAACAGCCACTCAGCCACCAAGTGGTAGGCCACGTCACATGACAGGGCGGGGTCAGCGCATGCTGAAGCGCACAGTGCGCAAAAGTCGCCAACTGTCTGCAGAGTCAATAGCTAAAGACCTCCAAACTTGGTGTGGCCTTCAGATGAGCCCAACAACAGTGCGGTAGAGAGCTTCATGGAATGGGTTTCCATGGCCGAGCAGCTGCATCCAAGCCTTCCATCACCAAGTGCAATGCAAAGCGTCGGATGCCGTGGTGTAAAGCACACTGCCACTGGACTCTAGAGCAGGGGAGACGTGTTCTCTGGAGTGATCAATCACGCTTCTCTGTCTGGCAATTCGATGGACATGCATAGTGAAAATTAAAAGAAAGTGCACCAACCTTGTGCATTACCTCAATAAAAAACTGTGATTATGTGATTGTGATTATATTAAAATGAGATATATATTCACAAACAAAGCAGTATAACAAGCGTATAAAATCCTGAAAGGAACATTGAAGTACAAGACCAGTGCGAGTCACATCAAGAGGGAAACTAAGACTGAGCCTTCCTAAATGGGCTGGGCAGTCCCAAGAAAGAAGGCTGGGCATAGGTGCCTGCCAGTGTCGTGGATTGTTCTCAATCATCGTCTGGGAAGACCAGGTTATGTCAATCTCAAAGGTTTTAAATGCCCAGACTCATCTGACCTTGCCCCAACAATCAGCACCATGGGTTCTTCTAAGCAGTTGTCTAGAAAACTGAAACTGAAAATAGTTGACGCTCACAAAGCTGCAGAAGGCTATAAGAAGATAGCAAAGCGTTTTCAGATGTCAATATCCTCTGTTCGGAATGTAATTAAGAAATGGCAGTCATCAGGAACAGTGGAAATTAAAGCAAGATCTGGAAGACCAAGAAAAATATCAGACAGAACAGCTCGCAGGATTGTGAGAAAAACAATTCAAAACCCACGTTTGACTGCACGATCCCTCCAGAAAGATCTGGCAGACACTGGAGTTGTGGTACACTATTCCACTATAAAGAGATACTTGTACAAATATGGTCTTCATGGAAGAGTCATCAGAAGAAAACCTCTTCTACGTCCTCACCACAAAAATCATCGTTTGAACTTTGCAAATGAACATATAGACAAGCCTGATGCATTTTGGAAACAAGTTCTGTGGACCGATGAGGTTAAAATTGAACTTTTTGGCCGGAATGAGCAAAGGTACGATTGGAGAAGAAGGGGAACAGAATTTAATGAAAAGAACCTCTGTCCAACTGTTAAGCATGGGGTTGGATCAATCATGCTTTGGGGTTGTGTTGCAGCCAGTGGCACAGGGAACATCTCACGAGTAGAAGGAAAAATGGATTCAATAAAATTTCAGCAAATTTTAGATGGTAACTTGATGCCATCTGTGAAAAAGCTGAAGTTAAAGAGAGGATGGCTTCTACAAATGGATAATGATCCTAAACACACTTCGAAATCCACGGGGGATTACATCAAGAGGCGTAAAGTGAAGGTTTTGCTATGGCCTTCACAATCTCCTGACCTCAACATAATTGAAAATCTATGGATAGACCTGAAAAGAGCCGTGCGTGACAGACAGCCCAGAAATCTCAAAGAACTGGAAGACTTTTGTAAGGAAGAATGGGCAAAGATACCTCAAACAAGAATTGAAAGACTCTTGGCTGGCTACAAAAAGCGTTTACAAGCTGTGATACGTGCCAAAGGGGGCAGTACAAGATATTAACTCTGCAGGGGGCCCAAACTTTTGATCCCCACTGTATATTAATACCATCAGTGCAGAGACGCATGATATATAATTCAGAAAAGCTGATAATTAAGTGATTGTGTTTCCAAAGATAACAATGATTAAAAGAACTTGAAAAGCCAATCGCTATTTCACTTTTTATAAAACGTGCACCTTAAAGATAAATATTAATATACGTTCCAAAATCATCCGGAATACACTTGCTGTGCCTAGAAGTGCGTGGGCTTCTAGGGAGAGCCAAATCCCAAAATCGGCTACAGATGACAGTGGAATGCATGTCAGTATGTGCGTGACACAAAGGGCGCATGTGCGTGCAGTATGTGCGTGCCTTAAAGGGGCACGCTGAGCCGCTAGTGGAACGCACATCCGACAGGCCGCTGCACATGTGCAGTGTAGTACGGTGTGCCCCGGTCAGCCCATTGGGAGCGCACACCCACGACGGACCGGAAGAACGGCTGTGCAGTGCGTTACAGCCGCAACCTCCGGTCCATGGAAAGGGTACCTCCAGTGTGAAAGAATCGTGTACCAAGCCTCCACCTCACACAGGAAGCGGAGGAGGAGAGGCAGGGGACACGGACTCTCAGAGACTGAAAGCAAAGGAGCCCGCAATAGAATTGTGTTGGATTGGATTGGAGAGGCCGGGGACACAATACTGGTCTCCAGGTGAATGGGGGACAGATCCTTGTGGCTGTGATAATAACAATGGAACGATCGCATGAACATTAGCAATAATAATAATAATTGTAATAGACAACAACTCCAAATAAGCATTGATAGCAACATAACCCAAGTAAAAAAATATAAATACATATAATTATTATTGTTATTATCGTTTTTTATTATCCACTAGGGGACCTCCCACAATAAATATACTGCGGCAAGGCAGTCCTTGTGCTCAGGATCACGTAAATAAACAGGAACCAGCATTTCCGGGTAGGGGGCACGTGCGAGGCATGCGACCGCCCTACCTGCGCCGCTGTTCGTGGCCCTGGGAGTCAATCACCGGGTCCTAGTGATTGCTGGCAAAGAGCAACAGGGAGGAGAGCTGCATTGTTTACAATGCAGCCCTCCTTCCTGTCAGTTTGGGCACACTGATCGGGATGGATGAGCACAGCCATCCCCATCAATGTGCTTACAGTGAAGTACCCCCGCCCCTTGTAAAACATTCCCATCACACAGTTAACCCTTTGATTGCCTCTCAACACCTTCCTGCCCAGTGCTATTAGTACAGTGTCAGTGCTGTTTATTAGCACTGATCACTGTACTGGTGTCACTGGGGATGACACAAAGTCAGTTCCCCCTCCAGTGTCAGAATGTCTGCCGCAGTCCCACCATAAGTCGCTGATCACCACTATTATCAGTATAAAAAAAATCCAGTATCTATACCACCAAACGCTATAACTTTCACGTAAACCAATTAATTTACACGTATTGGGATTTTTTTTTTAGCAAAGACATATCACAGAATACATTTTACCTAAATTTATGACGAAATTTTATTTTAAAATTTTTTTTACTGGACATGTTTTATAGCAAAAAGTCAAAAATATTGTTTTTTATCCTCAAAATTGTTGGCAGTTTTTTTATAGTGCAAAAAATAAAAAGCGCACATGCGATCAAATACCACAGAAAGAAAGCTCAATTTTGGTGAAAAAAAGGATGTAAATTTCATTTTGGTGCAGCGCTGCATGACCGCGCAATTGTCAGTTAAAGTAACGCAGCACCTTAACACAAACCGCTTCTCTAACCGCCTCCTGACCACCTTACAGCAGAAATACTGCTACAGATAGCGTCAGATTGCCCGTCAGTACACCAGTAATCACATTTAACTCCTTGATTGCCAGGAACACGCTCATACACAACAAACCTCCATTGCTAGTATATGTCTGAACGGGTCAATATCTTTGATCAGATCAACACTATATCAGCGTTCGCATTAGTATAGCATCCCCCAAAAATGCAGCGTTAGCGGGATCATCCCCGGCACCTGCCAACACCTGTGTTTAGCCCCTGCGCTTACCTCCCATTCTCCCCCAGCAAGTGCAGTGTCAGTAGGTCAATGTCACTTGATACATTGCACACAAAACCGCAGTGTTGGCAGAATCAGGCCTGATCTCTGTTAGCACTTGTCGGTAAATTTTGATGACTCTCATATGCAGCAGAGTGCCAGTACTAGTGCCACGCTACCTTTTGGTGAACTGGCGAGTACCAGCGGCCTACTACATCCTGGTCTTTCACATACCAGCACTGCAGTATCACTTGGTTACATGGTGAGTTCCATGAGTGCAGTACAAGCTGGTGCAGTGGTGAGCACAAGTATTGTCCCGCAACCACCAAGAATTCGCACACAGGCCAGTAGAGCCCCTAGTATCCTTCTGGATGTGCTTGCAAATCCCGATTGGCAGCCCACAAATTCTGCAGCACCCGTACTTCCCCCATTAACTGCTCAACCCGGAATTCAGGTGGAGCTGTTTTTCATGGAAGATCTGTATGCATTGATTGTGGATCAAAGCAATTTATATGCACAACAATTTATCGCCGCCAACCCAAATTTAAACCTTGCCAGACCATTCGCATGGAAACTCATTACGGCTTTCGATTTAAAAATTTTTTTGGACCTAACCCTCAACATGGGCATTACGAAAAAATAAAAATTGCAGTAGTATTGGTCCACAGACCCGATTCATGATATGCCCGTGTTCTCTGCTGCCATGGCCAGGCATAGATATGAAAGTATAGATGAATCAGAGTGACTTGCGAGCCACAGGTGTGATAATTACTAGAGGATCACAAACATGAAACACATAACTACAACTGTGTTGGAAATATCTACAAATATATGTTGCGCTCCTAAATACTTCTCAATGAATACTAATTAAATTATTACCATTAAATTTAATTCAAATTATGATACAAATAACTAATAAAAGTGTATAAATACCAAAAAATATTTAAATAGATAATTTCAACTAATCAATCTCCTCCAAATAAATATCAAAATAATTCCACATGAAATACTCCTCTAAAAAATATTTTACCAAGTGC